CTGCCAAAGCGAGCAGGACCAGAGCTCAGATGCAGAGCTCGACATGGAAACATACATCCCGCTAGAAGCTAATGCAAACCAAAACGTAGATGCTGCTACGGCTGAACTGAACCCAAAACATGCATCCGCCACACTCAGATACAACCCAGACATCAACTGTTTGAAGCCTTCTTTGAAGGCTTGGGCTTGTGACTTCAGAGCGGGATCAAATTCTGTGCGAGTGTGTGTCCCTGTCCCCTTTGCCCCTCCTCCAAGAGGACAGCAAGGGCTGCTCTTTGCAGTCACCATTCAGCACACAGCTTAATATTCTGGCACTCTCTTCTCCACCAGCTTGCTTGACTATAAAGTGTTTGGACTCCCACAGTAGTTCATTTAACCAGACTTCTCAAAGGAGTCCCTCTCCCTCTCCCTGGCTCTCCTCCGTAGAGGAATAAACAAGATAAAACAGGAAGCAAAATCAAAAGAAGTAGAGAAAAAGGAAAAAAAAAAAAATCTGAAGGAGGAAAGGAGAGCCACAGACAGAACAGACCAAACAAACCCTCTGTTGGGTCACTACTCCTCCAAACCACGCCAGCAGCCTGCCTGGGAGCAGTTTTTTATATGTATAAGGGAGTAGATGGAAAAGTAGACAATGAAAGTTGTGGGTTTTTTTTTTTTGCTTTTCAGCATGGGAACAGCTCCAAGGAAGCTGCTGAAGTTAATGGCAGGTAGTTTTGGAATAAATACATCTGTGGGCGGGATGTAAGGTGGCCCTCATCACCCAGCGGTCAGAGCATCAGGCGCTGCGTGTCTGTTACAGCTCCGGGTAACCCAGGAGCAAGGACAGCCCGGTGCACCGGCTGCATGGAGCAGCTGGATTCCAGCGTGGGTTTCTAATTCTCAGATTCTGCAGCTAGGAGAACCGCACACGGCCCTAGCCTCAGTGCATGCTGCCTTACAGGTGCTGGGAGACACGCATTTCCCACCTTCCTCTGGGTGCAAATGCAGGATCCAGCATCTGTGAGGAGGGCAGGAACCGTGCTGACCGCGGGCTGGACGACCTCGTGGTGGGGTGCGGAGGAGAGTGCACCCTCCAGACCCCCGCATCACCCACGGGGGAATCGGGTTTCCTGGGGAAATCACTCAAATCACCAAAGCGTCCTTCTGGTCTGAACCCCAGCTGCGAGAGCTCTTGGTCACCTGGGAGCCTGGACCTGCTGGAAGCTGCCTCCAGCTCACACGATGCGAACCCCCTGCTCCCCGAGCGCCAGCGTCACGCCTCGCCTGCCCGTTCCAGCATGGGAACAGAGGCAGCGGCTGCTCCAGAGCTCGCTGCAGGACAACGGCCACCGGCCACCGAGGAGTCTCCCGACATGCACCGGCTGTCTGCCATGGGTGAGTCAGCACAGAAAAGAGATAAAAACAAGCAGATGGAAGAAGTGGAGCTGACACATGAGAGACATAGCAAGTGAGGAGGACTTGAGGCCTCTAACTAGTGCCTGCAGAAAAATTAAATGAGCAACACTGCCAGTGCAGGTGTCCTGCCTAAAAAAGCATTCCACGTCCATGGTACGATGAGCAGCTAGCTGACTGCGACAGACAAGCAGTTGCAGAGAAAATCCGATTTCAGGTCACAAGCATGTGCATGGCAGAGTGAGGAAAGAAACCCCAGAGCCAGCCCCCCTGTCCAGCACAACACCCTGGGGTTCTTACTCCTCCGGAAGGCCCAGTCCCTCCGGCAGGTCCCGGGGCACAGCCTGGCTCAGGCAGATGGGTTTTAGCCCCATGAGTGGTGGTGCTTGTCTGGGAGACCCGAGCTCCTCCCGGATACCTGCGGAGGTTCTTTGGAGCACAGGCTGGGGCGGCACTGCTCCTCCTGCCCAGCTCTGCAGGGCTGGGAGCCCCGGGGGGTGGCTGCCCCAGGGACAGACCCCAGCCCTCTGCCGCTGCCCCCACCCAATCCCAGGGCTCCAGCACTGGGGCATTTTTACCAGGTGCCCAGCCTCTTGCTTCTCTGTCTCACAGTGTAAGACTGGCAGGTGTAGAAATAGTTAATTCTTGAAGGGAAGGCTCTCGCAGGACCAAGC